TATGGATTTGCGTGCTATGAAAATTTTTCAAATGGAAACTCAGGCTTCGGGTGTTACCGAAATCAAGAAGATAAGAGAGTCCATAATGGAGCATGGCAGAACGCTTGCGAAGAGTGAAAGAAATTGTGGAAGCTAGTAGAGTTTGTTTGCTAGTTGCTTTATGTTTTTTTAGTATTCGTTGCTTATTATTATTAAAGATTCTATGTGCTGTTTAATTTTCCGTTCATTAGAATATCAACGTGTGAAGACTTTCAAGGCTATGTTCCCGTTGTTCACATGGTTCCGATAAAAAACTTCTTAATGCATCTCCTCATATAACGACGCACGGAACGAATTCCGAACTCTTCCACTTTTTAACCAATAACCCAAATTTTTCTAATACGCTTACATTACAGGGGTACATTAGTGCGGCATCGCATTAAAAAGTCGAGGTAAACTCAATGCAAGAAAGGGACGCTTTGCCTAAAGAGCTCTAACAGATTATGCAGTTCGATGCAGATGTTTTCACTTGAGTTGCAACAGAAATCATGCAGAGAATCACCGTGTTAGCAACCAATGCACTGGAAATATAGGGAGTTGCCCCCGTGGGGTGCTACAGATCGACTCAGACGTCACTACCAAAAAGGGAAAGTGTTGGATGGCATTTCTGTCTTCGTGATATGATATGAACGAAGATGTACGCCGCTGTCAAAAGTTTTAACGTAGAGGGCATGTGTCTTGTTTCCCGCTACTCTTTGTCATGCAACGATTGCTTCATTCTCTGTCAAGAGAGAGTGGTCATTTTCATGTTGTAAATGGTGAGCTATTCGCGGGTATTCAACCTCACTTATGTCATGATCTCTAGCTTATATGCGCTTAGATGTGTTTGAAATACACGTTTGTTGTCAAGGAAGAAATAAATGATTTCGTATTGGTCATACCTAGGTGCGAGATTGGTGCGACACGCTATTTACCATAAACCGCAAAAATTAAACATGATTGGTAATACACGTAAACCTATTCGTGATATGATTGATCATCAAAGGATCCGTACATAACTGCTACAACATCCTATTAATGGCGGCACGGTCGTTCATTTTTTTAGTGCGACAGGTATCCTCATACTGAGCGATGAAGGGCTTTGCTAGTGTTAAACACATGTGTAAGCGTTAGGCACCGTTAGTATAAAGGACACGACTAATTGGCGCGCTGTCTTCCATTGATGATGATTTCATCGTAGGCGATAGAGTGTGCTTTCTGCTGTCTACGCGCTTTTCTCTTTCATCTGTACCTTCGTCTTGTTGCTTTCTATTTGGCTCTTCGAAAATCAGCTAAGGATGCACCCAGTTAGCTAAAATAACACCTTTAAATTTCAGTCCTTTTAATTTTCGAGAAACACTATTTACATTGTGAAGTATATAGTGAAATAGTGGATAAAGTTAGCTTACCATTAAAATGTGCTACCGCCCCACTCGAAGAATAAAGACTTCGGAGTCGTAGAGAAAAAATAAAGGAATTTAAAAAATGTAGGGGTAAGAATTCGATTAAAATCAAAGAAAATTCTGTCGAAGTGGTTTAAGAAGGAAAATTTGGAATTGACGGGGGTTCGATAATCAAAAAGTCTTTAATGTGGGGCAACAACCTTCGGAATACTGAAACAATTTCAATGACAATTACACCTGCGAACACCATTGATTTCTTCTTCATGAAAATCTGAATTCATAAACAGATTTCTATGTAAAATAACTTCAAATAGGAGAATCCGAGGCTATGGCAATACTGTATTAATGACCGATGTTCCCAAGATAAATGAGCCATTGGGAATCAGATTACTTCATTCCTTAATGGAAGGTGAAACCATAACGTCGCAAACAAATCTTAACCGTGAGTCTTTAGCCTGAACGCAGCCGCCGTTGTGAGAGCCCTTTTTTCGTGCAGCCACCAAATTGGAATTGGAGATTCGAGAATGCACACCGGTTTGTGAATTGGTGGAATGGCTGGTACAACCAGTGGAGAGGTTTGCATGACTGTCCTGGGAATTGCTACATGTTCTAGCGGCGGAATATTACCGTTTGTGAAAGAATTCTGTGAGTGGATTTTCTTTACTGGGCAGACGACTTAGTTTCTCCATCGCTTCCTAAAACACTGGGTTGGTTTAACTTTAAAGCGCGAAAGCGACCACGCCAACTATGATGACTAACAAAGGAGGACTACAATGGCCTTTATCGTGAACTGCGAGTACTCCGCCGCTTGCTACCTTGCAAACAAGAAAATGTTAGCTCAACAGAAGATGTGCACGTCGAAAGAATTCGACTGTGCTCAGAATTTGGACGCCCGCTTCTAGATGATTAGGTAGGTTGACACTGATTGTTATGTGTTAGGCCGTATGCTGAAGTATCCTTATGCAGGAAACCTAGAAAACAGCTAAATAAATAGCATGAAGCAGCGTTAATAAAGAAGAAATCTCATTTAAAGTGCGAGGAATCAAACTAGAGTCCGTAACGGGCTATGAAAGTTAAGGGTCACCGTGTTAGGAAAAACAGTTGTTCTTGACTATGCGCATTCACTCTTAAAATTGGGTCATAGTTCCTTACCAAAACAAGCAATTTCTTAGGAAACCATGCATGAAAGCCCATTTAGTAGCTCTGGCACTTGATATGGGCGATTAAATATAGTCCGTAAAGTTTTAAGCCTTAATTTGTCGAAGGCTGAATGCTTATGACGGACGCAAACGATCGGAAGGAGTTGAAAGAAAAAGGAAGTATAAGTATCTTCTGAAAATAAAAAAACCAGTAGAATGGTGCAGTGAAGCCTTAAAGAAGTGCTTTGCTTACTACCCACTAATATTTTCCTAAATCTTTCACCTTTCTAGGAGGACAGTGCCTCCAAAATTGATTTTCCTAGTTAGCATTAACGAGCTACCGTTCGTTAACAATATTGGCCTTTTCAATCCTGACGTTTTTTTATGCTTTTTTATGCACTGTTTTATACAACATTTATTTGAGGTTAACTCAGTTTGTCGTGGCACAGTGGTCGGAGGAGCACTGCAACACACACTTGGAATCGATCCCACGCCCATGGAGCACCAAGCCTTCCTTCCCTCCGGGGTCGGCAAATTGTTACCAGACTGGTTTAGGAGAATAGCAGCACTGGCTCGACACATCGGCAGGCCATCACGAGTCATTGTAAAGGCCAGATATGCATTCAATCACCTGCAAAAAAAGATGCTTAGTGCGGTGGAATGCAAGGGTGCATCCTTCAGGGATTGATCAACGTCGAGAGCTCTATCCTTTATTACTCTTTAATTCATTTTGTCAGCAAATTTTAGTCACTATTTTTTCTTTACTTTCTGCGCTTACTTTAATTTAGTTCCTACGATTCAAACACAAATTTGCGACTTCGCTTTGAAAGGGGACCGAGTTTTGAGTGCATGACACAATTAAACGACTCACTAACTCGCAGTGGCGTACCTTGATCAACGCGGGATTGAAAAAAACGTTTCTCTTTGAGCTTGCTATTAATTAACGTCTACTAATTGTTCAATATAAAGAACTAAATAGTATTTGCTTACTGTCGAAGGATGTCTGCAGAGAAGATGAAACTTGAAGCACCCCATCTTCATGGCCACATTAGGTCAGCGTAGTCGCTGCGCCACTGATCCTTATCGCACGTCCTCACTCAGGATGCGTTATCTAGGATGCGATATCTGAAAGGCATCAATCGAACAATCAGTGGCGACAACAACATCTGAGTTACTTTTAATGTTGCCATTTAAGAAGCGGCTGTGTTTTCCATCGAGGCTACTAAATGACGGCTATTGGCTTTTCACAAGTGGTCAGTGAGGAAGATGTCAAGAACATTTCGCTCTAAAATATGAGTAAGAAGAGGCCAGCGACAACGGGCATAAATTCGGAAGTAGCTTTTCATGACCTCACAGAATCTCTTGAATTGATCGGTGTTATTTAGAGTTTCTAGGGGATTTCCTTCAATTACATTCTAGGACATGTCTCAGTTCCTGCTGCAGTTTTATATAGCCACATCGAATGTAGTATGTTCGAAGACAAAGGCTACAAAATTGAAAACTGTAGGTGATCGTACTATTTAAAACATCGAAGCATATTTATAGATATCAACGAGGTTTACAATGAAAATATGCCAATACTTTTTGAAACTTTTTCGTCAGTTGGCACCACCTTATTTCCTAAAGTGTGTCAACAAAAATCAGGATAGATTTCGTAACAGGGCAAATCTAACTTGCTGCATTAATCAAAGTATGAACAATAAAATCACACTTTTCCCGGTCGACCATTTGGTACTAGAGCAGTCTGAAAGCATAAAAAAAACATTAACCCGATAGATGGATGGGTTAGCGAGAAGAATTTCTTAGACTTATCATGCATCCAATCACAATCCTCGTGCTGGAACCATGAGTGATTAATGAACCCTGCACGCTTTTCTGATTTATAATGTGATGCAGTAAAAGTGACATGAGGTGTAGTTTTGGTAATAAACGAACAGGAAAGTGGAAAGTAATAGGGCTATGACGATACATGCTTGTTAACGCTGGGAGAAAAAAAAGTAATTAAAAAAATACGACTTAAAGCTAAGCAAATGGTATAAATTAATACATGTCAGGTTTGATTCTTTTGTTCGGAGTTCTCCTCCTAGCGGTTTACCGCGTCATCGTGGCTGGGACGTGTTCCTGGGTGTCGGGTTGCTTTGTACAGGGGGGACTCATCCCACTAACAGGGCCTCTGAAGCTGAGAAGAACTCCGGCGTTTATATTAGGATACCTAGGTAAGAGTAAACCAATACTAAAATCCACTACCCTCTTGGTATCAAACTAGTCGCTTGGTGGCAAACCTCCCTCTGATTCACAGGAGTGGCGATCACCCGTGGTGGTGACGACACGGGGAAAACTTTGGCCGGCCTGATGCGTCGACATGGAGAAATTCGTTGTTCCTTACATCTGCCTAATACATATATAGTAGCGCAAAATATTTCGTTTTCTAGCGATTTTTATGCGGAGGGTGCTGTTGAATATCGCCGAAGAATGGTGGAACAACAGAAGTGGAGATAAATTCTGGTTAGAAAAGAAGGGAAAACACTTTATTTTCGTAATAAAAAGCCAGATTTTTGAAGGTAGAGACTGAATCAAAAAAAGCGGTTCAAAAAAGCAGGATAAAGAAAAAGGAATCAAGGCTGGCTAGGAAAGACATCACTTGTTACCGTATCCCTCACTTGCTACCGTATCCTTGTGTGAAGCTTCCAACAGAAAGTCAGCGATGACAACGCGGCGCTGAATTGGAAAAAGAGAATAAAAAACGATTGAAAGTGGCTTTTACCAGGTAGCAGTAAAATACGAATTCTTCCAATTGCTTTGTACGACGACGATTGCGAACGGAAGCTTTGACCAGTTTCTTTTTTTTCAGTCACGTTCTGATGGTAGCACTTTGAAAAAAGTGGAAAGTTTAAAAGGAGAATTCACTGAAAAAAGTAAAAGTTCAACGAATGTAGAAAAGGCATAAAATGACCAGGAAAAAAGTTTTAAGGTGGCGTTACCGATTTTGTGAAGGAAGCCGATAAAGGAAATGGAAAATCTAACGAAAGAGCGTAACTGTAACACCGCAGCACATTCAGCTTCGTTTATTTTCATCTGAATTACAAATCATTGCTTTTCATTGGCCCCGCCGAGAGCTATCAACTCTAAATACTTTTCTTTAATCTACAGAAATAAAGTCATATAACCTGAAACGAAAAAAAAGTTCTTGAACACTAAAAAAAATTAAATCTTTACATCCCACCACGTTTTCCAACATATCGGCTGCCCCCATAAATTTTTACTTTTCTTCTGAATAGCCAACTGAATGCAAGAAATTTATCCCACATTGAAGAGGAAAACAAGATAATGCGGAGAGGATAAAATCGTCTACATGGGATGTTGCAGTAGACAACGCAGCTGAAACTCCTATTAATGACAAAGGCTGTGGGGAATGAAGTGGGAATACTTGGTTGAAATTTTCGATCAGTAAGGCGTAAGTGAGAATTTAAAAAAATTGAATGCAGCAAAAACCTTCGCCCATTTCTCACAGCGCTCCTCAGTTGTTGTCCTACCATAATCAGCAAGTAACAAACTCTCATTTACTGCAGAGGAATCATCGATTGAGAAGTTAGGGTTAATTGCTAGTTGATACTGGAAGAAATGAAGGGGTTGAAAGAGTAAGATCAAGAGTGCTGCTCACAAACAAGCAACTAAACTTGGGATGGATACCGGATTCGAAGCTTTGCGAGTTCATCCTCAGAAGACAAAATATCATTATTAGAGCAATAAGTCATACAAATAAATAATACTTAGACATTAATGTAATTCACAACAAGTGGATTTTTGCGAGAAAAATAGGAAACCTGGACAAAACACCTTTTTTCTTTTGTTTCGTATACCTTATTTTTAGGACCTTCCACAATGAATTAGTAATCCGTCATAGTGTAACGAAATGGTTAGCGGCGAAGTGTAGCGGTTCAGATTGATGTAGAATATTAGCCACGCAAATCTTTTAGTTGCTGTAGTTGATCTACCAGCCTAAAACTTGGGTAATTAAACCTTTGATGCATAAATACAACACTAATAACATGATAGTAACGATAGAGAAGTAATGGTAGAGGAATAACACAAATTAGAGCTCTGAGGTGCTAAGGCCTGTAGTGAAGTGAGACTAACAATGAGGTAGTGGCATTCAAACATTATTATACCATTAATACAATATTAACAATAATAATGAAATTACAACGAAGTAGCCTTTGGTTAGCCGTAAGCGATGCCGCGCCGCGTCTATCCGCGGCCGGTGCGGCGGCTGAGGGAGACAGTATGCTGAGGTGGTGAGGGTTACAGACTGGCCGTGTTTCGGCCAAGCTAAGATTTCAACATTACAGCGATGAAGAGCATTTTAGTGGATCGATGAGGACTGTAAGTTACATGAGCGTTGACGGTGCTATGGACAGTAAATGATGAGTCATCTACGGAACACAGTCAGGCGGCTGGTCGTGAATAACGCTATGACAGCAACGTGAACTTTGAGCATCGATGGGTGCCACCATTGCCTAAGGATGGGGGCCGGTATGATAAATTGCTACAAAACTGATAAGCCTATAGCAGCTTAGCAGAATACATGGCATAAGTTGGCCGCTTAGCGGCATTGTACGAATGAATGTGATTGAAGGAGAATGAATGAGTATAACTAAAAATGAGTTGAGGTGACTGAGGATGATTGAGGATGTGGTTGTAAGGAGAGGATTATCCGCGCTACCAATCAGGTGTAAGGTGAGTGATGGCATGTCTCCGCCGTCGAAGGCACCTAGCTTATATCGGCTACGGAAGCCGCGTACGTATGCAACCGTGGTTAATCTGGATTGTTGATCCTGGACCGCAATAGACTGTACCTAACTGCCTGAAACATCAAACGTCATTAGCTTCGTTGTTTCGCAAGGAAGTAGTAAACTGTTCCATGGTTACGCCTCCTTCGGATAAGCCATCGTCGCTATGCTACTGAAGTCAAACCTGAATCGCTATTGTGCCTGAAACATTGAACATAATTGATCGAGAAGATTAGAAAAGGTTACATTGCGGTGTTTAATGTGCGACTGCGAGGCGGCCATATTTGGACTTCAAATACTATTATTTTGATAGATAGAGAACTTTTCAAGGGAGAAGTTCTCTATGCACCCACCCGGATTATTTAGGGGACCGAGACGAAGTTTTGTTAGCTATTTTGATTGAATTTGAACCCAAGGTTTTTGCATTACGCAAAGGTTTAAGAGGAATCTGAAACACATAACGCTAAAAACGTGAATAAAAGGAGCGTCGTATACTGAGCGATCTACTACATCTATCTTAATAATTGTTCGATCTTATTGACACATAGAGCTAAATCAATGAAGAGAGAATCGCCATTACACATGCGTTTCGTTTTCGAATTTCGTCATGATGTCTTGTGTTACGCTGCCCGATTAACAGTCACTTTCTCAATAATTTTTATTTCCTTTGAGTAATATTTGGACGAAGGCGCTCTATCTGGCCAAGCGGGTGACTGGTTTACAATTGATGTATTCTTACTTACTTAGATACTTGGGTGGCCCATCTTCTAATGATTGCGAGATCTTCAAAGGAAACCGTGGCTAGATAAGCGTCTGAGGAAAAAGTTTATAGCATGAGTAAGACGTTGTGAAAATATCCCGTAGGAATATGCGTTTTTCTAAGGAATGTTTCAAAAAGAAAATGATGAGTGCGCACTCTATACACGCTTCCTCTTGCTACATGCAACAAATACTTTCATTTAAGTTTACTCTAAAACCTGTTCATTGTAAAATAAGTGCTCTCAAATGCAGTCACTTTTTATTTGCTCTTTTCTTCTGTGATTTTCTGGTTTGCTGGCTAACACGTTAACCTCCTGAAGGAGTAACAGAATGTGCGATCACCACCGCAATCACTTGCAGTTCGGAATGTTGCAAATATTTCGGCATCATTGTAGTACAATGTTTTTGAGTTGACCGTTTGCAATATCGGCAATAGAGATATGTAACAGAGTTAGATATGCGTTCTTTTCGCAATAGTATGGCTCGCTCTGAAGTCTCCTCGTCGCTATAAAATTTTTCCACGAGTAGTCTTAATTTCTAGAAATCACTATGTGAGTGCAAAGATATCAGCTTTCGAATTCAAGCAGATGTAGTAGCTCCTCCGAAGGCTATCGGAGGGTACTTATCGCTTGTACAACGTACCAAGAATTCCTACTCACAGAGAAGCCTCAGCATAAAATCTGTTTTCGAGAATCTATCAATTTAGCAGAAAAAGTGTGGTAAAAGGCTCAAAACAACGAGGAGAAGGCGTGTGCGCTGAAATCAAGATCTACGGCCTAAGGTTTAAAGCAGCGTACATACTGAATGCGCGTGGTCGTGAAACGGTTCGAAACAGTTCGTAAAAATGCAACGGCATTGTTTGTGACGTCATTGTCCGAAAGTTTATCGGTTATCGTTTAACCGAGAAAACAAGAGTAATTTTAAGGAAAGAAGACCATTTCAGAGATAGGTTTAAGATAGTTACTGTTTATTACCTGCACGGTTCCTTACTGGTTTATTAGTTTTAGAACTGATGGAGTCATAATATCTCAGTGGCTTCCAGAGAACTCAATTTTTGCCAGCAACATGCAGTGGAACATATTGGTCATTTTCCACGCCGTTTCTGTGAATAACGAAGTGTTCCCAGAAAACGACCAAAGTAGTGAAAAAGCTGAATCCGGCTTACATTTGGTATTTCGTTTGCCTAATTTTATGACCTTTTAAGTAAAGGGAAAACTACGCACGAATGAGGGTGTTCTTAATACACCGTACAGGACTTCAGGAAAAAAGCGACCTCAACCAGTTAAAATCGCCGATTAGAAATGTGGTCTGCACTGTCATATTCTTCCCCACCAAATTTTGGCTCTCTTTGACAATGTGATATCCTCTTGAACTTCGTATAATCGATTATCATGGCTGCTGTGATAAAGGAGTATATGCAAAAAACTGAGAAACTCTTTAATTACCTTTCCACTAAGAAGACAGCACGAAGTTAACAAGGAGAACTTTTGCCGCTATTAAGAGTCAGTCCATCAATAAAAAGACACATTTTAAGTAAGGGCAGGATTTCATATCCAGTACTTCTTCACACTTATTGAGTTTGATGTGGTTATGTACGGATCAAATAGAGGAACTTCAAAAGTCACTGAAACTTAAGGCCTTCAAAAATGAAATGGATAACACGGTGTCTTTTCAATAAGTTGACAGTTAAGTCCACAGAATGTCGACATTAACAAAACAAGCACGAAAACAACATTCTATCGTAATAGTCAGTAATGAAATTAACAGTGGAAGCATTACCGAAGTAAAAGTGATAGCAGTAACATAGAAATAATCGTCCTACAAAATCCTCGTGTCTGCTTAAGGAAAACACTAAAGAAGAATAGCCTAGAAAACGCACAAATCCGAAGGTTCCTTGATAACAGATGTAGGAAATGGATCAATGGAAAAACTCTGAGATTCGTGCAGCATGCCATCTCATGTCATGCAACACAAAAATATGCACAGAAGAACAATAAGGCGAGAGTTAGTTAATGGAAAGCAATTGGAATGGCATGAGTTGACAACAACTAAAGTCTCACAAAGACAATGTTCATGAGGAACGAAAACTTATGCCCCATTCACATTCAAAGGTATGAATATCTCCGAATCCTCCAGTTACGTCTATCTAGTTCGTCAAATCTACATGATGAGCGGCGTGGCTCCAGAGATGAGAAGAAGGAAACGAGCAGTTTGGAGAGCTTTCGAGAGCATCGAAGATGTAGTGAAGAGAACAAAGAACCTCCGAGTCAGTGCCTGCCTTTGAACTCTACTATTTTTCCCGCTTTGATATATTCGTCAGAAACCTGATCACTACGTAAGAAGGATTAAAGGTCACTCAGCCGAAACGAAGATGCTCTTGCCCATCGGTTGTCATTCA